TTGATTGGTTGACCTAGCAGGGGTGATAGCGAAGGCAAGACGAGTTGAAGTTGAATTCTTGGCAACACGCAAAGTGCCCTCAACCCCCCCGATTGCAATAACGGGTGTGGATAACAGAGGGTCTAGATGGGTTCCTCCTACAAGGGGCAAGTGGAAATTTAATTGTGATGCAGCCATTGATTTGAAGCAAAGCACAGGAGTTATGGCAGTTCTTCTTCAGGACGAAACGGGCCTCATAGTGGATGGAATGGTTCAAAAGATTCGATTAAAGTCAATAGATCAAAGAGAATTAATTGCAGTGTGACAAGGGTATCTTATGGCCGTTGCTCTCAATCTTGCTGAAGTGGAAATTGAAAATGTTTGTAAATCAATTATTCACCTCTGTGTATCAGAAGGGGTCCCTCCTTAAGAGCTGCTTACTGTGCTGAGTGATGTTAGATCGATGGCCATGAGCAAGCAGCTAGTTTTTAAATGGTGTCGTAGAAATGGAAATAGGGCAGCCCACTGGGTTGCTTCTGCATGTTTACGAAATACTTTATCCCCTAATTGGGTTGTCCAACCACCTGTGGGACTTGTTAGGTGCTTATCTTCCAATTCTATGTAATTGTTGTGCTGATTTTCTCGATCAAAAAAAAAAAAAAATATTCTGTATAAAATATTGAGCCAATTTGGGAACATGGTTAAAAGTCAATATTTAGTTTTTAACCTATTTAGGGTTACGTTACTACTCTACTTTTTTATATATTTTTTCAAAAAAAGTAGAAAACAAAGTCAAAAAGTCAACTTTCTAAAATAATCAATTATTAAATATATATATATATATATTTTATGTCGCATACACATTTAACAATCACAAAGACACTATACCACACAGGGCGTCACAAACTTATGAGTCACCATAATTACAATCGATTGAATTTTTCCTGGTAACACAACACCAACAAGAAGGTGCAGTGTCAGGACAATGGCTCAGGCCCGGGATGCATAAAATTAATTTTGAATTGTTGACTACATGATCATAAGCTCCCTGTTTTTGAGGAGTTCTATCACCCTCCATGCAGGGCCGGCCCTGAGATTTAGGGGGTCCAAAGCGACCTTCGGAAATGGGGCCTTTCTTACATTAAAAAAAAAAAAAAATTGATGAATAAAACGATAAGTTATAACAACTTTTTTATTTTTTGGAGTCACAAAAAAATTTACTTACAACAACTTCTTCATCAACCAAACATGAACTTTCTATTTGTTTCTTGCTACTAAAAAATTTATCAAGTGCTCTCGATTGAGATTGAATAAAATTTTCTAATTTTTGCTTCTTTTTCCTTTTTTCACATCCAAAAATATACTTCCTAGGAGGCATAATTACTCTATATAATCACAAATCCACAAATTTTCTAATTTTCAGAAATTTTCTAATGTTTATACTTCCAGAAATTTTCAAAAATTTTCTAATATACTTTCAGGAATTTTCTAATTTTCTAATGTTTATTTTCTTTCAGTGATCCACGTTCTTAGCGTTGGTAGGTATTATAAAATATGATATATATGATGAATCTCATAAACCCAAACAACAGTGTCTAATACATCACAAAATAGACTAGAGAAAATATACTTTGAAAAAACAACCTTGGTGATTTTCCAAGCGTAATGAGATCGTGACCTTCAATATTTTCATTTACTTTGATCATGAGGATTGTAATTCCAACAATCAAAAACAATAGGGCTTTGATCAAAGAAAATATAAATGTCACCCTTCTTTTAGCTTCCATTTAGAAACTGGAAAGAATTAATTATTTGATTATCACATGTTTGATAAATTTATTAGATTTAAGTGTCAGACAAACTAAAATTTGAGGAGTGAAAAATGTTATCCAAAATGGTTAATAAATTGCTTCTTGAGACAGTTTTTGTTAATAATCTTTGATAGTAGTGATTATATTATAGTACAATCAACATAATTCCCCTAACTAATTGCCTCTTGAGCTTTGGTCTGTGGATAATTAATTTCTGGCAACAAAAAACAAAGTAGTTCTTTTATATATACAAAGTAGTTCTGTGGATAATTAATTTTGGGCAACAAAAAACAAAGTACTTTTGAGCCCATGTCAGTTGGGTCTCTAATCTGTCATTATATATTTTGTTTTTTTTAGGCCCCATATACAATTGGACTTATAATATTTGGATTTTTTTTTTATATCTAAAACATAAAATCATATTTTGAGACCTTATTTTCAGCCCAAATCTGAGGGCCCAAGGCGCAGGCCTCTTTGGCCTGCCCTCTCGGCTGGGCCTGCCTCCATGTTTGCATCTGGACTTTTCATATTGCCATCTTCACCAGCTGTATGTGTACGAACAAAACCACAAAAAATAAATAAATAAAAAGTAAAAGAAATTTACTCATTGAGATCATATACTAATATATAAGCAATATAGATTGATGATTCATGATCATGCCTTAAAGGGGTGAAGTGAGAGAATACTTACAATTTTAAAGAGGGTAAAGAGGACCAAGTAGAAAGTAATAAGTTAATAGTCGCCATAAGTGGATTACACTTTGATTTCTACTGACATTTATTATTATTATTAGAATATAAGGATTTTTTATACAAAAGATTTTGAACCTAAATTTATCAAGTTGAAATTGTGACATATGATTTGGTTATCTTCTTATTGGATTTAGTTTATCTCAAGTTGGGATCTCAACTTGAGAGAGCGTTTGGGTTTGATAGGTTCATTTTGAAATTAATTCCGATAATTTGAACCGTTCACTTTTTAAAACTTATTGAGTAAAATATTTATGCAAAAAGTCAAGATGATTAAACATCTATATATTTGAATCATATTTGTTTTAAAAAAAAATAGACGACAAATATAATTTTAAGAATAACCATTCATGTCTTGTAATATAACATAGAGCAACTAATGTTCGATTATCTTGATTTTTTGCATGAATATTGTATTCAACGAATCTTAGAAATATTCTAGAAACGGGACTTACGGTGTACTCTATAGATCTCTTAACTTATCTCATATTGAAATTCCAACATGAGAGAAATCCAACCATTTTTATTTGAGAAGTACTATGACTATCTTGTGTACATACATAACAATAAATAAGAAAACAAAATAAATAAATGAATATTCATGGATTACAGTAAATTTGGTTGACAATATTTTCTGATTTTGAATGTGTCATTGCAATAAGAAATTCATGCCTACTCACATTCATGACCAACCAAGAGACTGAAGAAGACGAAGAAGAAAACAAATCGACTTAAGTTAGTAGTTGCCATCAATAGAATTTTTAATGATATTTTAAGTGGGACTTAAGGTTTTTTATAGGCAAAAGTTACAAATCCTAATTTGGTATATGCCTCTGTGTTGTCATTGCAATTTAATTTTAAGTATTGATATTGAGACTAAAAAATTATATCTATTTTTTAAATTTAATGATGTGTCACTCTATTAACATATTTAAATCAAATATTTCTCTCATTTATTTTTTAATCATCAACTAATCATCTTGTTGACACGATCTAGAAAATGGGTTTAGAAAATGGATTTGTTTATATATCATTTTCCTTTAATTTTATAAGATATATAGACATTGCTATAATCAATTTCAATTAATTCTAATTATTTGTTTATTTGACTATAGGAACCCAAGAATTAATTCTTTGTAACTGTAATTCCAAATATGAGAAGACTTAAAAGACAATAACAAAGGGTTGTTTTGAAAAGTTAGTTAAAAGTTAATTTTTTAATTTTTTTTTAAAAAAAAGTATAAAAATTATAGAGAAGTGATGTGACTCAAAATAAATTAAAAGCTAAAATTTAGTTTTTAGCAAAGTTTCCAAATTGGCCCAAAATGCTATTCATAGATTAATGAAGTCCTTTCATATTTGAAATTAGAATAATACTATATGTACTAATTAATATACTAACTAGTATACCAATTGATGATGTGACATAATTTAAGAAAATTTTTGATATTTGTAATTTATATAATGAGTGGGGTCAATAATAATATCATAATTAGTATTTGTGTAATAGTTAGTACACTAATTTGTGTATATAGCACCACCATTGAAATTATAGTTACAAATAATATCTTTTTTGAGAGAAAAATTTGGTTAGAACTCTCTCGTAACAACATTTTCATGCATTAAGAACAAACATATAAATGATGTCTTAAAAATGCCATCACATAGTACTATTACCAAATTATTTTTACTAACTAATTTTATATTTTAAATTTTAAAATAATATACCTTTTGATTTAAATGTCAATTTTTAATAAAATTATTATTTTTATAATCATTTCGGCAAGACTATTAAACAAGATTCATATTAGCCATGATTTTTTTTTTTTAAAAAAAAGTAAAATTTTACTATTGAAACTAATGTCAACAATAAAAATTTTATTTTATTGGACAATAAAAATTTACTTTGATTCACAGTAAATTTTATTGTGAAATTTTAGTGTTTAAGTAGTGAAATACCATCATTATCATTAAATATAATAGTCACTATAACTGTTATTGCCTTAAATATAAATATTAAATAATTTTTTTGAAAGCAATGAAAATTAATGTTAACAGCGTGAAATTTTGAATTAGAAAATAGAAACCCTTAAATTAAAATTTATTTTCCTCACAAACCATTCCTTAATTATCAACAATAATTCCGAATTTCGTACATCCAATTTAATATACACAACTTAGATCTCGTTTGGGAACAGATTAATTTAGTAACTTTTTGGTTATTTAACTAAAATATGAGGTAAAAAAAATTAGTATGTTTGAGATGATTTTTTAGCTTTTTACGAAAAGGTGTGTAAAAAATAGAGAGAAAAGAAAATCTTTAATTTTTTAATATGAATTGTTGACTTTTTAACTAATTTAATAATTTTTTAACTTTTTAATTAAAATAAAAGTTCTCAAACGACCTTTTATTTTTAAGTTGACCCTAACATGTTAATTTATTAGGAAATATTCAGTTTGTGTAACACACAAATCTATAACATCTATAAAAAAGTAGGTAAGAATGGTATAATGCTGCTGCTTTTGGGTGTAATTCTGCTAGCCATCCAAACGGTGCACCATGTGCTCAAAAGAAGGCCTAGAATTGCAGTATGTTCAATTCTCTGAATCTCTGTTCTCCAGAGATGACGTGCCTCAAGTTGCTTCTTCTATGTAGGTAAGCAGGGGTGTTTCGGTGGGTACCAAATGGACAACCAACCCAAATTGCACCTCAATCAAGTCGCACAACAGAAGTTACCCTAATTGAGGCTTATCTGCAGAAAACAGAGAAGAGAAACAAACAAAGGTTTCTTCTCAATTATGTTCACCTGAGGTTTGGGTTTCATGGTCCCCCTTCTTGGACATGTTTTCTTTGTAGTGTTTGCATTGTGATTTATAGATTGATTATATGTTTATAGGCATTGAATACGGCTACAAGGTGTTTGTGAATATGTTTATAAGAGAACCTGCATGCTTACTTCTTTGGACATTAGCCATCTATGTTGGGTATGCAAAAACAAAATTGGTGGATTTTTTAAAGACACTACAATATATTCAAAAACAAAGCATTGAAAAATTAAACCTTAAACCCAAAACCACCATCGATGGTCTCAGATGCCTCTTTTTGGGCAGTTACTAGATTTTACACAACCAAAAGTTCATAGTATGTTGCTAATGACAGGACTTCTTTGAAAATTTATGTAGCATGATATTGTTTGTACTTTAGCTTTTGTCCTCATTGTAAGGTATACAACCTTCAATTTTTCCTCACATGTTTAATGTTATGATGCAGTGGACTTTTCATCCTTTCATTTTCAAGAACAAAAAAATCTACACAGCTTTAATTTGGTGTGGGGTTATGGCATTTTTATTTGTAAGTGCTTTTTTATATTTCATATGTTTTTTAAATTTCATTTTGTATATTAGCAATATTCTTTTATGACCCATAAATTAATTGGTGATTGAAATGTTTGGGGATTAGGACTTATAGTTTGAAATGTATGAGCATAGAAGTGGCAAGAATTTTTAGGACTAACTAACTCAAGAATGCATCACAAGTTAGGAATGTTATTTCTTCATTACATTTCTTTTCAACTTAAGTTATATACATTCTTCTTCATGTATTGCAGATACTAATATGATATTTGAATTATTATAGATGTCCTATAAATGTTGACTGTATCCATTTGTCTTCATCATTGATCACTTGAATGAATATGCTAACTTGGACGTGTCATTACAATCAGTGAAAATAATATTGTCATTGATTAATTACTAGAACACCTTTGTTTCATATGTGACATGAAAGAGAATTGATTGAGATATTTTTAAAGATTTTGGTCGTTGTTCTTTACTACACTTAAATAAATAGTATTATTTAACTTAGGACATACTAAGTGTTCACATTAACACATTTAACTTATTCATTGTTAGGTAGGCCTTTACCCCCATGCTCATGAAGGGTGGTGGTTGTATCTTGTGTACTGCAACAACTATTATGCATTCATTTTGGCTTATTTCAGGTCTTATTTTGGTGATTTGAATCGTTCATTTCTAAAGTACATTGAGTAGTATATACCTAAAAAAATTAAGTTGACTGGATGTCATTAGCCTTTTCATCAAATAACATTTGAATTAAGTTTTATATTTAAAATCATACTTACCGTTCATTTTTTTTTTTAGATACAAATGTAATTTGATAAAAATATTTTTAATATCCAATCAATTTGATTTTTTTCAGGTATAATTTACTCAATATACTTTAAAAAGTAAACAATTCAAATTATCAAATTGAGACTCAGAATGAGTTCCATTTGACGAACAACGGTGACTTCTATGCGCAATGCAGAACAACCACATTGATTTATTGTTGTCTCTTAACAAGAATATTGGCTGTTAAAATTCAGGTCAAATGCAATAATTGAACCTTTGTGAACTAAGAGACATTAACAGAATAAATTAACATGAGATAAAAACAGAGAACTAATTTTCCATTCACTAGATTTTGGCCTCACCTCTCAGATCCACCAATTTCACATTTTCTCCACACACAAACACAGAGAATTGGACAAGGCTAAACTAAATTATGGAAAAAAGACTTTAGAACATAGAGTTTGGCTTGTTTCCAGACCCCCCCAAAAAAGGGGGGTAAGGCCTAAATTGATAATTTGTCAATTAGACAAACAAAACTTTGTAAAGAACTTCGGTTACTATATTTTGAATGTCATTTGATATATGTATATATATATTAACAATACATTGATTAATTTATAAAACTAGTTTCTACAAATCCTCATTGGTTCTACCTGAGCAAACAAAATAATAGAATCAATAGCCTTTTTATATCTTTCCCTAATTGGTTGTTATCAAATTTAATTGGAAAGAAATTACAAATTCCTGATGATGGACTCTAAAACCAAATCAACAATTAAAAAAAAAAAAATGATGTGACATAGACCAAACTAATCTATCGCATTTGGACTAAGCAATCAAATAGAGCAAACCCCAATTGTAATGTATAGCATTCACCAAAAATCTGTGTTTCTCAATAAGAATTATGTTCAACAAACAAGTTTTCCAATAAGTCATGACTTGGATTCAAATATTTGTTTTTATTTCCTTTCAATGTTACGTATCTTGTTATGAAGAAATAGTGGACAGGATTTGTTCAACATACCAAGGCATTGTTCATTTTCTTGCAATTCGTGGGAGTAGGCAACTGTTCATCAATTCTACCATTTATAGCTACAAAATGCACTACCGTGTGCAGAGAGGTTTGTTGGAATCTACTCCTCTTGGATGACCCTTTTTCAACTTCTTGTTCTTGATTGTTTTGAATTGGGATTTTAAATTCCTGTTGTTGTTTTACTTCTCTTTATTCAGTCTATGAGTAATTATTGGAAGAAAGATTTATAGTATCTTACTATCGACTACATCCTACATGTTGGAATCATGTTCATTTTGTAAAATCGTAATGTAAATGTAATCTTCCTATGTTGAGATCACATTGTTTTCAACTAACTATTTGTGAATGTTTATTATAGAATGTTGTTTATCCAAGGAATTTGCTTTATTTTAATTTTTTAAGGAATTTGTTTCTGCTTCAGCAATGGTAGCGACAACTCTTTCGACATTACAAAATTGCTATAGATTGGGATAAGATGTCAAGAGGTATGATTCCAATATAATTCCCTTTTGTTCTTTTCATTTAGAGCGTCCAACTTACAATTTTAAAGGAATTGTTATTCCGTGTTTGAATATAAATGTAAAAAATCTAGAAATCTCCTAGATATTGATTTGTGATTATGTAACAATTTAAACCAATAAATAGCAATCTCAATCAAACAATCAAAGACAAATCAACACAACGATTTTACGTGGAAAAATCACAATGGAACTCCTCTAATTGTGATAAACAAAACTATGAGCAAAAGCCACAAAACAATCCACTAAGAAGACATAAAAGAATTATACAAGTGTACTCTCAATTACCTAGCAAATCCATGTCCGAATCGAATCGACCTCTATGTGCCTCTTCCAGCCCTGTTTTCACGTCGGAATTGTCTTGCCAATGTTGAATCACATAACCCCGATGTCGAATCCATAACGATGAACCACTCCGGACCTGCCAAGGGGCGCTGCCCCTCAACCCCGCCTGGGCGCTGCCCTGAACCCGCCAAGTGGCGCTGCTCCCTGGACCTTCGCGAGCTGACCGGGCAGCTCAATCCTTGACATAGTGAAGTAGCAAATATGATAAGATTAAGATCACAAACTCTTTTGCATAGGCACAATTCGGTTTAGATTCACATCTAAAAGTCATAGCCTCACTGAAATAAAAGTTGAACAAAATTACAATTGAAAGGAGCTTTGTCAAATGAGATTGCCAAGAATAAAAACCTAACAATCTCCTTCTTTGGCAATGCAGTGACAAAAAACACTTAACAAATAAAATCCTAATCACCCCAACCCATTATAGCCAACAAAAACAAACTTCTTTCTTAAGGTCATGATTTGCAAAACAACTATTAGTGCCACAAGAGTATATGAAAAGCAATAGACATATGACAAGATTATCTTGAAGCATGAGATAGAAATATGAATAGATATAAATTGGAGATTTTAAGAACATGTAGCATTAAAACATGAAAACTAAGACACATGCACCCGACACATGGCATAAATGCATGAAATCCTAAGACACATGCACCCGACAATATTTCTCCCCCATTTTGTCACGAATTGACAAAGGAAGCTCAAACAACAAAAGCAAGATAAAAAACCACACAAGCAGGGACAGGATGATAGAAAAATTAGTAACCTGCAAGAAGTAAGCAATAAACAAGCAGTGGAGAGCAACACACAAACCAACTAATGCCAAACTCCCTTACCAAACCAATCCAAGATGAACCAAACTCCCCTTCACTAAAAGCAACCACAAACATTGAAAGTAGTAAATAGGAAGAAAAAGACAAAAAACAAAATATGGTGAAGCAAGTAATGAATTTCAGATTTGTACCTTAAAAACACACAAGATTATCCAAGAAACACAATTACTTGAAAACACAATATGCACAGCCTGTAGAAGATTCCTTATGAAAGAAAGTGATGCATTATGTGAAAAGTATAGATCTTATGATAAAAGTGTGTGTGTGACTCTTAGAGTTCGACAAATACAAGATTCAAATCTTAGTAGTGATCTGATAGCTGAACCTTCAGCAAGAAAATCTAAGCACAACTGAGGAAAGTCAAACCACTAGGAATCAAGGGGTATTTAGTGAGTAAAAGCGGAGGCTCCCCCTCAATCAATGAATTTTTTTTTTCTTTCTTTCTTTTGCACATTTTTTATTTCTTTTTCTTTCTTTCTTTTGCGCATTTTTTTTTTCTTGTGCACATTTTTTTTTCTTTCTTTTGCACACTCATTAGCGGCTGGCTGACACGCTTAAGAGTATGAAAATCGAACCAGAGAACCATGGATACAATAAGGATAGCCTGGTTGGTAACTCTGAGGTAGTCTTTTTCTTATGCCTTAATTATAAAGAACTAAGAGGAAAGCTGTAGAGATGCAAAAAGATAGAAGGTGGTTAAGAGACTCAATATCACCCATGATATGCTAGTATAGGTTAATTCCTCTAGAAAAACAAAAGATGCAATGCCAGAAGTCCATAGAGAAAAATGATCACTAAGGCGAAAGACTCCAATATTTGCTAATTCAAGAGTGTGTACAGAATGAGACATACTAATCAAAGTACACGCACTCCAGAATGAGTAATGACCGCAGAAAGCACACACATATTAACATATAATGGATATTCTCATCAATTCCAATTTGTATCAAGGACTTTTCAAAAATTTCAAGCTTGCAAAATCATACTAAGAAAATCTTTTTGGATTTTTTTTTTAAATTTTTTTAAAACAAAGTAAGACAGAAAACGAACAGGCACTCATTAAATGACTCAAAAAGAAAAAACGTACAGAAACCCAAAAATTAAAACAAATAAACGAATTAACACAAGTCATTTTTTCTCACCTAAACCACTTTAGTATGAACAAAATTGTGAGAATTACGGTTCTTGGGCGGTGTCTTGACGTTGTGGTTTCCTTTAACTTCATTGGGAACCTGTCTTGACTTGGTGTCCAACTTCCTATTCCTAGGTCTAGATAAACAAAACCTCTATTCATGTTTGGTCTCAAGCAAATCAAAATAACAAGTTCTAATATGACCCTTAGCCTCATTACCACCAATAAAGTGGCTTCTATCCCTCGAGATATTGGAATTTCTTCCATCTCTATGTGACATTCTCCCATGTAGCTCATAACAATAAGGACGAATATAACCATACATACCACAATGATGACAAATAAAAACAGGGTGTACTTTCTTTTCTTTGACCTTACCAACTCTAGGAAGATTGAGAAGTCTTTTCTCTCATTGAATCTTTTGATCCCCTTGCCCTTGAGATAATCAATTAATTTATTTATTTATTTATGAATTAATTAATTAATTAATTAATTTATTTATCATAATCAATTTTAGGCTTCCTATTTTTTTTTCAGACTCAACTCAAATAATTGAAAAAAAAAATAAAAAAATAAAAAATTAAAGCAAAACAGTTGAAAAAAAAATAAAAGAAAAAAAATAAATAAATAAAAGCAAAACAGTTGAAAAAAAAATAAAAGAAAAAAAAATAAATAAAAGCAAAACAGTTCAAAAAAAAAAAAGAAAAAAAAAATTAAATCACAGAGAAGTCGAGATCGAAGACGAAGAAGAAGGGGAAGGGGAGAACCTGCGATCGAATACGAATCACAGAGCTGAAGTCGATCGAAGTTGAAACATGCGAAGTTGATCGAAGTAGAACCTGCGAATCGAACCTGCGAACCCTAATCGAACCTGCGAAGTTGATCGAAGTTGATCGTAGTCGCAGAGGAAGAGGAAGACAGGAAGATGCGACTTCGATTAGGGTTATCTGAGCCCTATTTGGCTCATATGGTCCATGAGTCGTAATCCTCTATGATTACGAGGCCTTTGATTAGGTCGATTAGGTTGATCTGAGTCATTAGATGGGATCTACAACTTGAACACTCAGTCGCGCATAGGCAATCGCCTTGCGCCTCTCGCGCCTTGATCCAGTCGCGTCTAAGGCGCTCGCCTGGATGAAGTCGCCTCGCCTGATACCTCGACAGGCGCAGATGGTGCGCCTTGCCACGCCCTGCGCCTAGGCGCGCCTTTGACAACACTGACCCAACACATGGCATAAATACATGAAATCCTAAGACACATGCACCCGACAATATTTCTCCCCCATTTTGTCACGAATTGACAAAGGAAGCTCAAACAACGAAAGCAAGATAAAAAACCACACAAGCAGGGACAGGATGATAGAAAAATTAATAACCTGCGAGAAGTAAGCAATAAACAAGCAGTGGAGAGCAACACACAAACCAACTAATGCCAAACTCCCTTACCAAACCAATCTAAGATGAACCAAACTCCCCCTCACTAAAAGCAACCACAAACATTGAAAACAGTAAATAGGAAGAAAAGGACAAAAAACAAAATATGGTGAAGCAAGTAATGAATTTCAGATTTGTACCTTAAAAACACATAAGATTATCCAAGAAACACAAGTACTTGAAAACACAATATGCACAGCCTGTAGAAGATTCCTCATGAAAGAAAGTGATGCATTATGTGAAAAGCATAGATCTTATGATAAAAGTGTGTGTGTGACTCTTGGAGTTCGACAAATACAAGACTCAAATCTTAGTAGTGATCTGATAGCTGAACCTCCAGCAAGAGAATCTAAGCACAACTAAGGAAAGTCAAACCACTAGGAATCAAGGGGTATTTGGTGAGTAAAAGCGGAGGCTCCCCCTCAATCAATGAATCTTTTTTTTCTTTCTTTCTTTTGCACATTTTTTTTTTCTTTTTCTTTCTTTCTTTTGCACATTTTTTTCTTTTTTTTCTTGTGCACATTTTTTTTTTCTTTTTTTTGCACACTCATTAGCGGCTGACTGACACGCTCAAGAGTATGAAAACCGAACCAGAGAACCATGGATACAATAAGGATAGCCTGGCTGGTGACTCTGAGGTAGCATTTTTCTTATGCCTTAATTATAAAGAACTAAGGGGAAAGCTGTAGAGATGCAAAAAGATAGAAGGTGGTTAAGAGAATTAATATCACCCATGATATGCTAGTATAGGTTAATTCCTCTAGAAAAACAAAAGATGCAATGCCAGAAGTCCATAGAGAAAAATGATCACTAAGGCGAAAGACTCCAATATTTGCTAATTCAAGAGTGTGTACAGAATGAGACATACTAATCAAAGTACACGCACTCCAGAATGAGTAATGACCGCAGAAAGCACACACATATTAACATATAATGGATATTCTCATCAATTCCAATTTGTATCAAGGACTTTTCAAAAATTTCAAGCTTGCAAAATCATACTAAGAAAATCTTTTTGGATTTTTTTTTTAAATTTTTTTAAAACAAAGTAAGACAGAAAACGAACAGGCACTCATTAAATGACTCAAAAAGAAAAAACGTACAGAAACCCAAAAATTAAAACAAATAAACGAATTAACACAAGTCATTTTTTCTCACCTAAACCACTTTAGTATGAACAAAATTGTGAGAATTACGGTTCTTGGGCGGTGTCTTGACATTGTGGTTTCCTTTAACTTCATTGGGAACCTGTCTTGACTTGGTGTCCAACTTCCTATTCCTAGGTCTAGATAAACAAAACCTCTATTCATGTTTGGTCTCAAGCAAATCAAAATAACAAGTTCTAATATGACCCTTAGCCTCATTATCACCAATAAAGTGGCTCCTATCCCACGAGATATTGGAATTTCTTCAATCTCTATGTGACATTCTCCCATGTAGCTCATAACAATAAGGGCGAATATAACCATACATACCACAATGATGACAAATAAAAACAAGGTGTACTTTCTTTTCTTTGACCTTACCAACTCTAGGAAGATTGAGAAGTCTTTTCTCTCATTGAATCTTTTGATCCCCTTGCCCTTGAGTTCTTGTATCATAAGATGTGGATGCACTCTGTTTTTGCTCTTTATTATCACCAAAGCCAATGCCACTCTTGTCATAACACATTTGTTGAGACCCAATGATATTGTCTAAAGTCTTTGATCCTTTGTTCCAAAAACCAATGGTAACTATTGCATACTTGAGCTCTTTCTCTTTCTTGATCATTAGTTCTTCCAAAGCAACATGAGGCATCTCGAGAGATTCAATCGTTTCTTCATACGTTGCATAGATTTGCTGTAGCCCATTCTTCTCTATCTCACAAGTCAAGAGTTTTGCATAAAGAGCCTGTCGATCATTAGATATCTTGACGGCATCATTCCTAGCCTCGAAAATCTCCTCTTTTAATTTGACATTCTTACTTTCACATGCTTTGAGTTTCATAGTGAGTTTGTCATTCAATTTGTATAAGTCAAGAGATTTCTTATACAACTTTTCATAAGCTTGTTGAAGCTCTTCATCATCACTTCCTGAGGATTCATTATCAGTGTCATTCTCAACCGGCCTCTTCAGATACTCTGTTCGTCATTCAGTTTCGGAAGCCACTATGAAAGCAAGGAATTGTTCATGCCCCTCTTCGCCTTGTGCTTTGTTGTCACTTTCATCTTTATCAGACTCTGATTCATTATCCCAAGTGATAGTGAAAACTTTCTTTTTCCTCAAATGAGTAGGGCATTTTTGAGCAAAGTGGCCAAATCCCTGGCATTCATAGCATTGGACTCTTTCAGAGTTCCCTTGCATTTTTCCTTTCCTCTTCTGGGTTATAGAATTAATTTTGAATTTATCTTTGTCTTTGGATTTATGAGTTGATTCCAAAAGATTAGGATTCTTTTTCAGAAAAGACTTTTTAAATTATTTTACAAAAGCATTCGTAATCTTGGAATTAATCTCACAATCTTCATCAGAATCTTTTCCAACTGTATGAGTACTACTAAAAGCAATATCATCTTTTTGTTTCTTTGGAATTTCTACGTGCCTCATAAGTTTGGAGATTTCTAACCAAATGATCCAGCTTGACGTTGTCAACATCTTGAGCCTCTTCAATAGCCGTAACTTTTGGTTGGAATCGATCGGGCAAGGATCTCAAATTTTTTCTCACAACCTCGGATTCTGGTATCTTTTCACCTAAATTGAAGTTGAAATTTACAATGTCACTCAACTTCGCATAAAATTCATCAAAGGTCTCACTATTTTTCATAGAAAGATTTTCGAAACTAGACGTGAGCCTTTGAAGTTTTGAGCGTTTAACAGAAGGAGTGCCCTCATGAATAGTTTGTAAGAAACCCCAAGTCTCTTTTGCGACTTCAAAATTGCAAATTCGGCTAAACTCTTCTGCTGTGATGGCGCAAAAGAGAGAATTGATAGCTTTACTATTCCAGCTACTATTTTGGTAATCAGTTGTGTCCCACTTATCAATTGGTTTGGGGAAAGATACTCCATCAATGGTAATCGTTGGTTCGGTCCACCCATACATGACAGATTGCCAAACTTTTTCATCAATAGATTTTAAAAACGATCTCATCCGATCTTTCCAAAAAGAATAATTAGATCCGTCAAGTAGGGGTGGTCGAACCATAGAATTTCCCTCACGAATTGTATCTATTATCACAAATCAAACAAGATCTCGCTCAAATAGCTTTGTAAAGAAAATAGAGCGACCTGCTCTGATACCAATTGAAAATCTAGAAATCCCCTAGATATTGATTTGTGATTATGTAACAATTTAAACCAGTAAATAGCAATCCCAATCAAACAATTAAAGACAAATCAACACAACGATTTTACGTGAAAAAATCACAATTAGAGCGCCTTCAATTGTGATAAAAAATATCATGGGAAAAAGCCACAAAACAATCCACTAAGAAGACATAAAGGAATTACACGAGTGTACTCCCAATTACTTAGCGAATCCACGCCCGAATCGAACTGACCCCTATGTGCTTATTCCAACCCCGTCTTCACTTCGAAATTGTCTTGCCCAATGTTCAATCACACAACGTTGATGTCGAATCCACTACAATGAACCACTCCGAACTCCACCAAAGCTTCAGGCTCAAGTTCCACGGAATCCACCGAAGGACAACTCTCTTTTTTGTATTGAATAAATAAAACAAACAAACCCTTTGATATGATCCACTCAATTTATGATTGATCTCTCACAGATATCAAAGGAAAACAAGGAAAGAAGCTCCAGATGAAAACCCTAATACCCAAGAATAGGATTTGGAAGTCGTAACCCTAAAAATGGATGAAACCACATATTTATAGAAAACTGATCCGCGATCTCCGCTTGAGCACAGGAATAGCTGCTCGAGCGGACCTCGCTTGAGCACAGGAAAGTTTGCTCGAGCGTAAAATCCCAACTTCCAGTACTTTTACAAACATGTCAAACTTCTAGAACCAAACATTCTCCGTTCGAGCGCACAAATGGCTGCTCGAGTGGACAAGCAACTTCGACTGCAATTTTGCTTCTAGCTTCTGGGGCGCTGCCCCTCGACCTCGCCTAGGCACTACCCTGGACCTGCCAAGGGGCTCTGTCCCCTGGACCCCCACGAGCTGACCTGGAAGTTCGATCCCTGACATAGTCAGCGAAGTGGCAGACGTGATAAGATTAAGATCACAAACTCCTCTGCATAGGCACAATTCGGGTTGGATTCCCATCTAAGACTCATAGCCTCACTGAAATAAAAGTTGAACAAAAGTACAACTGAAAGGAGTTTTGTGAAACGGGATTGCCAAGAATAAAAACCTAACAAAATAAATGGATTGGTAAAAAATTTAACTTATTTCTAGCTATGCGCCTTTCCTTCTAAATTTATCTATGAGATCAATTCCCACTCCTTCAATTTTTGTGAGATCATGAAAATGGTTTAATTATGTTAGATTAGTTGCCTATTTTTCAAATAATGATTTTCTTGCTTTGTGTGACATTTGCAAGTTGCAATTGCTGGATGGCCATGTCAAGCAATTGAAACTTGCAACATCGATTTGCAGGTGAACTTGGAATATCTTAAAGTGGTATTAAACACAAAAGGCATGGCTTTACCATGATATTGGGAAGTTGGCAAGATAGAAGATGAAGCTGTAATGCAGGTATAAGAATTTGCTAATCTATTTCTGAATCTCCATACAAGAGAGTAAGACGATTTGGGATAGAACCTCTAATCAATCTTATATTCATTATCGTGCTTACACTTCTTGATGATGAGTTAGCTCCTCCAATAACCACATTAATGCAATCTATGAATGTGTATTTCTTAGCAAGCAAATCCTTAACCCAAGTACACTAAATATGTTGTGCTTGTATTTTATCAACAATTAATCATATTTGTATATTTGTCTATACCTAGCCCATGAGCATAGTTCTTCTTGATGTGGATATGTTTCATTTATTTGGAAAATTAAGAAAAATAAAATAATTTTGTTTTGACAAATTATGACACGACGCGTGGGGTCCAACTAGTAAAGACTGGAAAAGTTGCTATCTTTCCATACCAAAAAAATATTTGATGAAATTAGTTTAGAGTCCATGGGCTAATGAAGGCCGAGATCAAAATATTTAGGCCTTGTTTGAGATAAATTAAAAAAGTCAAAAAGTTAAAAAGTTACTAAAAAAATATATATTAATCAAAAGTACCTTGTGGGGAAACCACTAAGACAAAATTATTATTTTGCCCTTTGAGTTCAACTACCCAAAAAGTTAAAAACTCAAAAGGGTAAAATTGTCATTTTGATTTTATTGTAATATTTTATTACATATCTTTTCGTAAAAAGTCAAAAAGTTATCTCAAACATTCATCTTTTTTTTTTCTCTCTATTTTTTTAACTAAAAAGTCAAAAAGTACATTTACATATCACATCCCAAACAATTGCTTAGTGTTATAAAAGTGTATTTATTTTTAATTTTTTTTGAGTAAAATTATTTTTTTATTTTTTTTGCACATTTTTTTTTGTTATGAAAAGTTAAAAGTATACTTATTTAGATCATTTTAAACAATTCCTATTTTCTTTTTCTTCTCGAACAAAATCACGTAAATAGCATTTTACAAGAAATTCAAGAAATTAATTCATCTTCTTTTGTTGTATATGATTTGTACCGATTAGTGCATATACATTAATAAGGGAGTTCGAATTTGCTAAAGTAAAAAACTCGACTTTAGATAAAAGAATAATGTTATATGCACCAATTAGTGTATTAATTGATGATATCATATAATTTAGAGTAATGCTAAAGACCCCAAGTATTCTATCAAAAGTTTTATCAAATGTCTCACATGGGTATGAGATCCACACAATGTGGATCCCATGTGGGTCCCACACCCATGTGAGACATTTGGTAAAACTTTTGGTAGAATTTTTGGGGCCTCTAGTATTTTTGTATAATTTAAGAGGCTTTTGGTATTTGTAATTTGTATAATGAGTGGAGTCAATAATAATGTCATAACTAGTGTTAGTATATTAGTTGGTACACTAATTAGTGCATGTAGTATCACCGTAGATAAAAATGTAGATCATATAGATAAAAATGATCTAATTGTAAAACAACCGATGTTGGGTGAATTTGATTTTTTGCATTGATTATAAGTTTATATTATTTAGTTATAAAATAAAGAACAAAAATATAAAAGACAATATATACTTCTTTTTATGACTTAGATTAAAATATTTGTTAAAAATTAAATTTATGTTATCATTGAATTTGATAATGTTCCGAATTAAAATAATAAATAAAAGAATTTAAATAATTTAATATTTATTCAAAATGAAAATAAAAGAACAACAATAGTAGTGCACTAGTAGTTAACCCGTGCTATGTATGGATTAATTTTTTTTTCTTTTTAAATAATATTTTATAAGATAAAATAAAATTATTTATATATGCCTATATATAAATATATATATAGAACTATTTAAAAAATATATTACAAAATATGCAGTGCAATTTCATTTTGTTAAATTATGTAAGTGTAGTTCAAATATATATATATATATATGATACTTTTGTACTTAATTTCAATATAATAAAATAAATATTCATTTTAACATTAAAAATAATGATTAAATTGGAGAAAAAACTCATTTAAAATAAAATGATACTTCTAATTATTTATTTTGATAAATCCTATAAAAGTGTTATCTAAAGAAATAAATATAATGATTTTATTTCAATTATTTATGTGTATTTTAATAATTTTAACCCTATCATGCTATTAATGTGTAACTAAAATAAATATATAATAATTTTGTATGATATTAAATTATAACATAGTAAAATAAACACTCAATTTGACATTAATAATTATAGTTAAATTGAAAAAAAAAATAGTAGCATACAATTAAAAATGGTTGTAATTGTTTATTTATTTTATTCAGTTGGAAAAAAAAAAAGTAGGAATGGAAGTTATAAAAAAAATTTATTTAAAAAAATTAAATAAAGTATCTCGCGGTTAGATTAAGAAAAAATAGATAGATTAATTATGTTGAGTATTAATTTTTCTTTAAATCTAGTTTAAAACAATTTATTAGGAAAGTGTAGTTTAAATTATATATATGAAAAATAAGTATTTCTCAAATAGAGTCCATATAAAATTGGTTATGATAATTGAAATTAAGTTTGTGTAGAATTTTATATGTAAATGAAAAAGGCATGGTGATGTGGCTTTTTAATAAATAAATAAATAAATAAATAAGACTTCAGAATGTGTATATATCTGAAAAATAAATATTTCTCAAATAGAGTTCCTGTAAAATTGGTTATTATAATTGAAATTGAGTTTGTATAGAATTTTATATGTAAATAGAAAAGGCATGGTGATGTGGCTCTTTTAGAAAAAAAAGTAAGGCCATATAATGTGCCACCTAAGCATAGCAAAAAATACTACTTTTAATAATATCTATATGATATCTATTGGGTTAAGTGGGTAGGTTTGAAATTTAATTTTTTTTAGGATTGGACTTGGAATGGCTAGATTAGGCTCGATGTCGGGCTGGGCCAGGCTAAGCTTGGGATGACAGATATTCTCTTATTAAATAGTGCAAGCCGGCCTGACCCAGGCCATGCTTGAGGTTTGTCCACCTCTACATGTGGATCTCATGTGGTGTAGATCCCACGCTCATGTAAGTGTTGTGTCGAATAATTACCATTACTCATTTTTTAATTCAAAATTGTTGTTATATTTTCTTTGAGTATCTCCAATGGGCTCTTTTAAAAAAGCTTGGTGGCTATTATAACTGATCTCATATTTTTTACTCTGCCCAATGGGGTACTTATTATAACAACTATTTTAATAAGATTCTCCCAAGCTAGCTACACTTGGAGAGGCATTTTAAATTAGTTTGTGGGGATAAATATGCAAAATAAAGAGTTAGCGTTAAAACACATATATGAAAAATTAGTTAGGTAATTGAGAGTATACATTTTTTTTACTTTAGCTACTAAAGAATGAATAGTAGCATTGGAGTTACTATGTGAGTATTTGGTAGAATATTTAATAATTTATTTAGGATATTTAGCATTTTTGTTTAAGAATCTAAGACATTAATGTCATTAATGTCAATTAGGCTCTCCAAATGAAATTAGTCTAGAAAAATTTTGTTAAAATAATTATTAGAGCAGGTAACCCATTCGAGGGAGTAAAAAAAATGAAGTTAGTTACAACCGTTAACAAGTTATTTTAAAGAGTTCTATGTGTTGTGTTTTCAAAAATACTAACATGGGTCTCAAGGTTAAAAAAAAACTTATTATTTATTAAATTTTATTTTTAATTTTAATTTTAATATGGGTGATAACTTAAGGATACAAATTTAATGGCCTCATTTAGTAGCATTTATAAGTTATTTATTTAGATCATTTGGTTAAATATGTTTGTTACACCCAAGGTTATTCAAATATAAATTCTTATTGATTTTGATTATAGACAAATATTTTGAACTCATTTTGTTATTCAAAGTTTACAAAATAATGTTATACAAATTGTGCTTCAATGGTTCTAGAAGATATATGCTTCTAGACTGTTGTTTTTCAATGATTTGTAACCCCTCAAAACATGAGATTAACACTTGTTTGCAAAATTCTATTTATGCTTGAAACAGGTCTAAGGGTCGACACCAAAATAATAAGGGTCGACACCAGAGTGAAGCTCAAAATGTCTAAGTGTTCCAGAAGCAAGGGTCGACACTAAATTTCAGTGTGCAACCCAGAAGCAAGGGTTGACACCAAGGACAACAAGGGTTGACACTAAATTTTAGTGTGCAACCCAGAAGCAAGGGTCGACACCAAGGACAACAAGGGTCGACACTAAATTTCAGTGTGCAACCCAAAAGCAAGGGTTGACACCAAGAACAGCAAGGGTCGACACTAAATTTCATAATGCAATCCAACAGCAAGGGTCGACACCAAGAGCAACAAGGGTCGACACTAAATTTCAGAATGCAATCTAGCAGTAAGGGTTGACACCAAGAATGATAAGGGTCGACACTAGGAACACTTGGAACTCAATTCAGAGAAGAGAAGAAAACGAAGGGTCGACACCCAATCTGCAGGGGTCAACACTTGTAAATTTGGGTGTTAAAAATCCCACCTACCAAATCAGATCTCGACTGACACAGCCCTTTTCTCAACCACTTTTTCAAAGTTATGTGCAGAATATGTCATTTTTTCTGACCTCTGAGCAGATCTTCTGGCACCATATCCTCTCCAAGAAGTTGACCTATGAAAGAGAACATTAAATGAAAAACTTTTGCATTTAATGATCCTTTTCTTCCCAAGACCTGTATACAGTCCACCTTCTCCATATTTTAATCAAATACAGCTGGAAGATTTCCTCCTTGATTTGCTCCAATGGCTAGGAGATTCAAATCTCCTCTCTTTAATAGTTAGAAGCCATTAATGCTATAAAGATGAAGCTCTTCTTATTCGATCTACACTTCTTTAATACAAAGAAACCCAGAGCATTAAAAAGCAATCAAGAGCTTTTAATATACTCCATTGTACTTCTATTTTCATATCCGAGTGAGTCTTAACTTACCTATGAGCTTACACTTTCATATCCATCTTTTGAGAGAGAATATTTGTAAAAGAGGATAGTTAACCTCTTCTCTTGTTCTTTATTTTCTGAGTGAAACACTTGTAAAGTGAGGCATTTAGTTGAGAGGTCCTCAATAGATTGAAGTAAGTCCTTTGTAAAAATCTATAAGCTAGGTGAAACTTGGTGGTGCATTGATTCTTAGTGAAGAAATTCTCAAGGAGGTCTCTTAAGGAGTGGATGTAGGCCGGTGAGCCGAACTACTATAAATCCTTGTGTTGAGCTCTTCTTTCATTTCCTTTTATTTTCCGTGCATTTATTGATTGTTTGTTGCATTTAATCACTTAGTCTTTTGAAATCTTTTTCTGGCCAAAATTTTTAATTAAACCAATTCACCTCCACTTTTGGGTTGCTTTCCTATTTAACAATTGGTATCGGAGTCTTGTCTCCAGTATTGTGACTTAACCGTCTTAGAGTGATCTATGGCAACCCCTAGCTCCTCTCTTCCTAAAGGTCAAGCCTCAAACCGACAACCCTTCTTCAATGGCACAAATTTCAACTATTGAAAAATCCGTATGATTATGCATATCCAATCTATTGACTATGAAGTTTGGAAAATTATCTGCGATGGTCCTAAAGTCCCTACCAAAACCATAGATGGTCTGTTAGTCCCCAAACTTGAGAGTGAGTGGACTAGTGCTGATTATAAGGACATTCAATCCAATGCCAAAGCTGTTAATATGTTGTATTGTGCACTTGATGCTACTGAGTTTAACAAAATATGCACTTGTACAATAGCGAAAGAAATTTGGGACAAACTTATTGTAACTCATGAGGGAACCACTCAAGTCAAAGAGTCTAGAGTGAGCTTGCTTGTTCATAACAATGAGCTCTTCAAGATGAAACCTAATGAGAACATATCCCAAATGTTCACTAGGTTTACAGATATTATAAACAATCTTAAATCTCTTGGGAAGACTTATACGAATGCAGAAATTATTAGAAAAGTTCTCCGATCATTGCCAAAAAGCTGGGAGAACAAAGTCATAGTAGTGATAGAAGCAAGAGACTTGTCAACTTTAAGTCTTGATGAGTTAATGAGATCTCTCCCAACCCACGAGATCATCATGCAAGAAGGAAAAAAAGAAGAAGACAAGAATAAAAAGAAATGGATAGCTTTCAAGTCTACCTCAAAATCTCAAGAGGAAGAAGAAGATGCTTTAGAGGAAGATGAAAAAATGGCTTTCATTACCAAAAGGTTTAAAAAATTTGTGAAGAAGAAACAAGGTGTAAGGAAGTTCTTCAGAAAAGATTTCAATAAAGATTTTCAAAAAGGAGAAAGTCATAAAAAATCTGAAATTACTTGTTACAAATGCAACAAGTCGGGACACTACAAATCGGAATGTCCAGAGCTCAAGAAACAATTCAAGAAGGACAAGAAGAAAGCCATGATCGCAGCATGGGGAGAAGACAGTGATGACGGCGACTCAGAGACTGATATTTGCAAAAATGAATTCGAAAATCTATGCTTGATGGCACTTGAATATGAAAATGAGGTAAATGATGACTCCTTTACCTTTGATGAATTGCAAACTGCTTTTGATGCATTACATGCTGAATTAAAAAAATTAAGTATGAAAAGTAGTTGTCAAAAGAAAATGATCTCAAGTTCATCTCAAAAAAATGAATTCTTGACTTCTAAGATCAATACTTTAGAAAATGAAGTCTTGACAATGGAAAATGAGAAAGAATTTTCAAATGAAAAAGAAACTTTCATTTTTGAAAAGAAAGTAGATGATTTGCAAAAAAAAAAAAAAATGAAACTTTGAAAAAGGAGAAAATTCTTTTAAATGAAAACATAGAAAATTTAAAAAATATTCTTTCAAAATTTATTCAAGGCAGAGATACTTTAGATAAAATTCTCAAAAGTCAAAATCAAACCTTTGGAAGAATGGGAATTGGATATAAACCTTTTTTAAAAGCAAAAATTTCCAAAAAGACCTTTGTTCATGTGTCATCTAACCATTCTCATCTCACATGCTATTATTGTGGAAGAAAAGATCACATTTCTTCTTCATGTCCTGCTAAGAGAAACTCATTTGATGGAATGAAAAAATAAGTGGGTTCCCAAAAACACTTCAACTCTTAACTCTCATGGACCCAAGAAAAAATGGGTACCAAAAGGCCAACAAAAATCTGATTATTGCAGGCATGCTTTAGGTCAAAATCTAGCAACAATTGGTGGTACCTTGATCGTGCGTGCTCGAGGCACATGACCAGCTATAGAGCAATGTTCTCAACCGTTAAATCCAAAGGAGGTCACGTGACTTTCAGAGACAATAGTAAGGGAAAGATCATTGGTGAATGTAGTATTGGTAAAACTTCTTCACCCATCATCGAAAATGTGTTGCTTGTTGAAGGATTGATTCATAACTTGTTTAGTATTAGTCAAATGTGTGATAAAGGCAATCATGTTACTTTTGAAAAATCCCACTGCACCATTAAAAATTCTGCTGATAACAACGTGCTTTTTGTTGGTCATAGGTATGAAAATGTTTATATATTTGATTTGCATAGTTTATTTCCTAATCATGATGTTAAGTGCTTATCTACTATAAATGAATCTAGCTGGCTATGGCATAGAAGTCTAGGATGGATTTTCTTTCAAAACTTGACTTGGTTGTTGGCTTACCAAAAATTGATTTTGAAAAAGATAGACTTTCTGATGCTTGTCAACATGAAAAACAAACAAGAGTTTCTTTTAAATCAAAAAATATTATTTCTACTTCTAGGCCTCTTCAATTGTCGCATATTGACTTGTTTGGACCTTCTAGAACTGTAAGTCTTGGTGGTAAATCTTATTGTCTTGTTTGTGTAGATGACTATACTAAATTCACTTGGGTGATTTTCTTAGCACACAAAAGTGATACTTTTTCTGCATTTTCAGCTCTATGTAAATGTATTCAAAATGTGATTAGTCTTGCTATTTGTAGCATTAAAAGTGATCATGATTGAGAATTTGATAATGATGAGTTTATTCTATTTTGTAATGAGTATGGCATTGATCATAATTTTTCTACTCCTCGAACTCCTCAACAAAATAGTGTGGTAGAAAGAAAAAATAGAGTTCTTGAGGAAATGGCTCGGATTATGCTTTGTGAAAATAATTTGCCAAGATATTTTTGGACGGAAGCCGTTAACACTGCTTGCTATGTTATTAATTGTAACATGATTAGACCCATACTTAAGAAAACGCCATATGAATTGTGGAAATGAAGAAAACCCAACATTGGTCATTTTCATGCATTTGGTTGTAAATGTTTTGTACTTAATAACAATAAAGAAAATCTTGGAAAATTTGATGCAAAATCTGATGAAGTCGTGTTTCTTGGCTATTCAAATTCTAGTAAAGCATATTGAGTCTTTAATAAAAGAACTTTACTCGTTGAAGAGTCTATACACGTTGCTTTTGATGAATTTAACTCCTTTGCTACCAAGAATATTGTTAATGATGATATTGCAGATTCTAATCCAAGAATTGAAGGCATTTACTTATCGAAAAATGATGAACTTCATTATTCGAAACCTAATGTTGAAGTCTGTATAGAAGATCTTCAAAAAGAGTATGCTCATCTAGCGAAGAAAAATGATCTACCCAAAGAATACAAGTATGCTCTTGAACATCCTAAAGATCTCATTATAGAAGATGCCACACAAGGTGTAAGAACTCGTTCTTCTCTTCATAATGTGTGTGGCAATTTAGCTTTTGTTTCTCAAATTGAGCCAAAAACTTTTTCTAAGGCTGAAGACGATGAAAATTGGATTTTTGCTGTGCAAGAAGAGTCAAATCAGTTTGAAAGAAATGAAGTTTGGTTTTTAACTCCTCGTCCTAAGGATCATTATGTTATTGGAACAAATGGGTTTTTTGAAACAAAATGGATGAATCCAGTGTTGTTATTAGGAGCAAAGCTAAACTTGTAGCCTAAGGTTATAACCAAGAAGAAGGCATTGATTTTGATGAAACTTTTGCGCCCCGTTGCATATCTTGAAGCCATTTACATGTTGCTTGCATTTGCTTGTTTTAGAAATTTTAAACTTTACCAAATGGATGTGAAAAGTGCTTTTCTAAATGGGTATATTTTGGAGGAAGTATATGTTGGCCAACCTCTCGGTTTTGAAAATCATAAACACCCGGATCATGTTTATAAACTTTCAAAAGCTTTGTATGACTTGAAACAAGCCCTTAGAGATTGGTATGAACGCTTAAGCAATTTTCTTATTGAAAAAAAGTTTTTCTCGTGGGAAAATTGATACCACTTTTTTTTTATAAAAACGAAAAATGATGATATGCTTATTGTTCAAATTTATGTTGATGATATCATATTCAGAACTATTAATGAATCTTTGTGCAAGGAATTTGCTAAGGATATGCAGGGAGAATTTGAAATGAGTACGATGCGAGAGTTGACATACTTTCTTGGATTACAAATAAAACAAATCCAAGATGGAATCCATTTATCTCAAGCCAAATATATCAAGGATCTCCTTAAAAGATTTGTAATGGACTTATCCAAACCCGCAGCAACTCTCATGAGCACATCGATTAAAATTGACAAAGATGAGTAAGATGAACCAGTAGACGAAAAGAAATACTGAGGTATGATTGGTTCTTTACTCTATCTAACAACTAGTAGACCCAATATCATGTTTAGTGTGTGTATGTGTGTACGTTTTCAATCAGCTCCAAAAGAATCACACGTCACCATAGTAAAATGCATTTTTAGATATCTTGTTGGCACTTCACTTTTGGGTCTTTGGTATCCTAAAACAAATGGTTTTGACCTTTATGGTTACTCGGATGCCGATTTTGCGGGATGTAGACTTGACCGAAAAAGCACTAGTGACACTTGTCATTTTCTTGGAAATTCACTTACATCATGGTTTTGTAAAAAATAAAATTCTATGGCTTTATCCACAGCTGAAGCGGAATGTATTGCTGCTGCTAGTTGTTGTGCTCACATGTTTTGGATAAAACAACTTCTTGATTTTGGACTTTACTATGATCACATTCCTATTAAATGTGATAACACTAGTGCCATTAATCTTTCAAAAAATCCAATACAACAGTCACGCACTAAACACATTGAAATAAGGTATCACTTTCTACGAGATCATGTACTTAAAGGTGATATCGAACTTGAATTTGTGCCTACAAGCCAACAATTGGCTGATATCTTTACCAAGCCTCTCAATGAGGAACAATTCTACTTTATTAGAACTGAGCTTGGCATGTTAAATATTTTTATGTGATGTTAAACTATGTGTTATTATGCTTCATTGCGAAATTTGCTGAGTAAAACACTAGTTTTTGCCTTACAGGACCCTTAAGGGTCGGCCCTCAGCTCTATAGGGTTGACACCTTGTGAACCAGCCTTGTGCTTTTTATTGTTAAGGATCGACACCCTTTTTCG